GTACCGGAGGCCAATGAGTTAATTACAGTTGCATAATTCCAAAGCAAGCAACATCCCCTTGGAAGCAGGCCTGTTGTACAGTTTTGTCACAGGATGTCACTAAACAGCAAGCCAGTCATTCCCAAGACAATGTTAGTCAACATTACTCAGGCTATTTATAAACAGGGGCTGGTACTCACCAATATGTAAAAGGTGGTGAAAATGGGACTGGAGGTGGCATGGATTTTGGCCCTGGCAGAGGGCAGCTTCCAGAGCAGGAATGCAAAGAAAAGTACATTAGGAATCAGCAGCAAAAGGTCCCAGTAACGAACCCTAGAATCAAGGAATAAAAATTAAATGGTTTTTAAAATGCAGAACTTTCACCATAAAGAGTCAGAACTCCTGTCCCAGAAAGAAGACAGAACCATCTACATATAACTGCATCTTACCTGGACATCCCAATGTCTTCATACAACAACAACAAGCACTTATGTGGCACAGTAATATTAGTGTCATTAAAAAATGTTGCCGTTGTCAGAGGTGCAGACGTCACATTGTCCAATACAGTCACTAACATGGTGGCGTATGTGTAGGTGACATTGTCATACGTGAAGAACCTCTCCATGGGTGTCTCCAATGGAGACATTCTGCCACCGTTCCTAAAGAAAGATGAAGAAAGGCAATATCATTAGGCAACAGGCAATTAAGAAGAATACTTATTTCAGGCCACTCAGGCATCATGCTCATACATCATCTAACGACTTGATATTCCTTCCTTCTACACTAGAATCAAGCACATAGCATTCCCTTAGATTCATTTTAAACCATTTTCTGGCATTCCAAAAAGGGTTAATTTGAAAGCACGGATGAGGAGATAGTTCTAATTTCACCCCCTGCCTGTCATTGTCTCCACAGAAAGAAGGACTGTCTGTAAAAAAAAGTCTCTCTTCTCCACACATGACTGGGAGTCCGAGGGCAGGGGGGAGGTTCTTAATCATGATTGTGTGGAAAAGTTCCACATATTAGACTGTCTCCTCTTCTTCACATGCAGACAGCAACAGGCTGGGGTCAGGAGATCTTTTTGAATCCGACCATCAACTATTCTCACGACATACCCAAGCCAATGTAGACATCGCTGTTTCAGCAATGTATACATGCTAGAAATTCCAGCTTGTTCTAAGACTACTCTATTTGGAACTTTGTCCTGCCAGGTGATACCAAAAATGCATCGGAGACAATGCATATGGAATGTATTCAGCTTCCTCTCCTGCCATGCACAAAGGGTCCCAGAACCCACTGCAGTACAGGAGTGTGCTCAGGACACAAGCTCTATAGACCTGGATCTTGGTATATGCTGTCAGCTTCTCATTAAGCCATACTCTCTTTGTGAGTCTAGAGAATGTGGTAGCTGCTTTGCCAATGCATTTATCCAGCTTAACATCTAGGGAGAGAGTGTCAGAGATCACTGAGCCAAGGTACACGAAGTCACGAACAACCTCCAATTCTTGTCTGGAGATGGGAATAGAGGGAGGTGAGTCCACACCCTGGTCCATGACTTGCGTTTTCTTCAGGCTGATTGTTAGTCCAAAACCTTGGCAGGCCTTGCTAAAATGATTCATGAGTTGTTGGAGCTCTTCAGCAGAATGGGCGACAACAGCTGCATCATCAGTGAAGAGGAAGTCCTGCATGCGTTTCAGCTGGACTTTGGTCTTCGCTCTCAATCTAGAGAGATTAAAATATCTCTAGATTGAAAATAAATACAGACAGATGGTAGCAAAATAATTGTTTTTCATTCCTTTCCCATTTTTCAGAATGAGGCTTTTGCTTTTCCATTCCAGGCTAAGGATGCTACTACATTGGAGAGCTCAATCAGAACATTTTGGTTTTGCTGCAATTTGATTCATAGCCTGTTACGTCTGAAACCGCAATCAGTGCTCACACAGGAGCAGTGGACGGATCCAGGAGTTCACGACTCATACTAACTGATATGTAAGTAGCCCACAACTCCCACTTCTTCCTTTCCTTCCTCTAGGGAGGTACTGGTGATTTTATTGACCTTCTGTGTGGATTATGGGAGTGAGGAATCTCTGTGTGTATGTGCACGCATGATTGTGTGTAAGCGCATTTCAAATAATGTCAGAAAATATCCCGCAGACACAAAGAGTCAGGACTTTGAAATATGCACATGCTTGCGTGCGCGCGCACACACACACACCACTGGGATGCCCCCTCCTTCTCCCTACTAGCAAGTTGAATGGCATGGCTCTCATTTTCCATCCGAACTTCTAACGAAGTAGAAAGCACATGGAAACGGAGGTTGGGATCCCAATGTGGTGTGTGCGTGCGCTTCAAAGCCCTGAATGTTTTCTCTTACAATGGGACAGTCCAAGTGCCACCTAAATGCACTCTTCCCCCGTCTTTACAGGAATGTCTGCAGAAGAAAAAACATGATTGAATCTTCCTGTCCTGAAAAAGTTGGAGCTCTCTACTGGCAGAGGAAAAAAGGCACTTTTACGTTATATAGGCTGGAACAAGTCGACTCAGCCTTGTACATCATGCAGACACTAAACTATATTTCAGATTCTCTTATTTTATAATCAGAGCAAATCCCACCATATATGACCATGTAGTTGCACTCTTATACGCTTGTTGCAATCTATGACCTTTTACACTGAGCACAGTAGTCTGCAAAGAGTTCTTGAGACTACTGGGTGCAACGTATTCTATCAGCAACTTAGATCCTGCCAACAACCTTGTTTTCTATCTTTTTCACTCTCCCCTTCAACCAACTTATTTTTTTTAAACAATAAAGCCTGAAAAGGAGATCTGCGAAACTTCAAAGCTAGTTATAAATATGCCACTTGTTTTGTTTAGCTTTTCCTCAAATAGATCAACACACCTGCTTGCATTTTCTTTCCCTTCAGCAACATTTCTCTTCACTAATACAAAGTCATTGTATGCATGCCTAAACAGGACAAAGTGGAGTACTAAACCAAACTAGCAGCAACCCATACAGTAAAACAAAGCATGCAAGGTTTGCCCAAGCCTGCCTGGGATTCATGCAATGTGCCCTCTTCTAATACACTAATATATTTAAAAGCTGTATTCTGTACGCACTTAGAATGAATGACTCACTGTTCTACAGATAAGCAGCACTGGCAGAAAAGTCAGGTTCCAGGCTAAGGATGTTCTAGCGCCTAAATTTTTTCTTACTGGGTCAATTATGGGCTGGTTATTTATAAAACAATGTTAACCTGCCTTTTAGGGTATATACTCTTCTGAGAGCTGTTTGCAGAGTAATCAATGTAACAAAAAGTTACCAATTATTATTAAGACAAGCAAATCACGTTACCACACTAAAATAACTGCAGCACAAAAAGGCATCATAAAACCAGCAAAATATCAACTAGAATGTTCAGAAATTGAGGAGAGACTTTCCTACAGAGCTGCGGATTCACATTTAGCAGAGGTCAGTGTTCTCTAAAGCATGCAAGGTTTGGTGCATGCGTTCGCAATCTCAAGATTAGACCACTGTAATGCGCTCTACGTGGGGCTACCTTTGAGGCTGCTGCGGAAACTACAGGTGGTGCAGAATGCGGCAGCCAGATTACTTAGTAGAGTGAAAAAATACCAACATATCTCACCCACTCTGGCCGCATTGCATTGGCTGCCCATCCAATTCCGCATCGACTTCAAAGAGTTGACGCTAACGTATAAAGCCCTAAACGGTTTAGGGCCTTGATACTGGGCGGAACGCCTACTCCCACCGAGATCTACCCGTGCCCCTCGTGCGAGCCAGGAGGTGAGGCTGAGGAGCCTAACGCCAAGAGAGGCCCGGAAGGAAAAGGCAAGAAATCGGGCCTTCTCGGCGGTGGCTCCTCGCCTCTGGAAAAATCTACCTCCTGAGATTTGCGCGGCTCCCTCGCTGGTTACCTTTAAGAATCAATTAAAGACATGGATGTTTCGGCAGGCCTTCCCATCAGATAATACCTGACGCCCTTTTTCTTTCCTCTTTTATTGTTTTTTTTCTACTTTGTGTAAGGCTTTTACCATTTAAATTGTCTCTATATTTTTTATTGTATTATTTTGTGATTGTTAGCTGCCTAGAGTGGTCCTGACCCGACCAGATAGGTGGGATATAAATAAAATAAATAAAAAATAAAATAAGTAAAGGGGCAGGGCAATAAAAAAAAGGCCCTGGGATATACTGTAGTGATTAACAACCTGATAGCTGTCATCAGAAGAAAGCAGGCCCTGATATGCTGATCTTAAGGTTCAAACAGGTGAAGATGAGCACAGGAGATCCTTCACAGAGAACCTGGTCCCAAAGTCTTTGACTTTAAATGTTATAGTGTGTATGCCATCACGTCAATTATGACTTATGGTGACCCTTTCCAGGGTTTTCCAGACAGAAAATACACAGAAGGGGTTTGCCATTCCCTTTCCCTGGGCGCCTTCAGACTATACAGTTTGCCCAAGGCCACTCAGGCCAGCTCTTCTGGGGTCTATAATGGGGAACTGAACTCCCAACTTCTGGCTCCACAATCAG